AATCACATATGCTGTAAACTGTAGAAATTAGACTTACATGTGTGCACAAGGTGATCAGCCTTTTGTTGCAAGGGTTAAGCTAAGTGTTCTTTGATCATCCCCAAACAATTCATGGATCTCGAGACAGCGTTTACATAGAGCAAAGAGATCTCTGTCCTCATGAGCTAATTTATACATGGGGTCAGTTAAAACATTCAGAGGCTGACAACTGCTCAATAAAAGCTGATTGGCTGAGGAAGTTAACATTCAGAGCTGTACAATCCGGAGTGGGTATAATGTGGAATTTGTGTATAAAATACACGCTCCTCTCCCTTCAGAAGACCATCTATAAAAGCATGGAGAAGCAGTATCTATAGGGTATTTAGATGTAACTTTAGGTAACACCCATGGAGTATTTTTTATCTTAAGTAGACCTGTGATAGTGACTACTATAGAGCTGGAATAACAGGCTAGAATGCTCTGCCAATTACTGTCTGTGTGAACCAAGATTCCACTTCCACTTTATTTGGGGGGGGCAATACTTTCTGTAGACTCTTTATTAGTAAGGGATTATTTCCGAGCTACCTCTTTAGCAGCAGCATTTTTAATAAGCTAACACCTGCTCCACTTTGGGTGCTACACATCCCAAAAATTCAACCCACGGTTTCTGGAAAGCGATTTGACAGAGCAGATAAAGCCCTACTGTGATAAACAGATAAGCACATACCCAGCGACACGACCCAAGATTGATCTTGCTCTTTCAGTTTCCCTGCCATGAAAGGTAAGCACTCTTTAAGTGTTGATCTGGTAAGCAGAAGAGAGCGTCCTCCATGTAAATACCTGGGGATTTAGACAGCGTTGCCTTACGTGCTCAGTGTCCTACTTGTGACCGTTCCTGTACCAGAAGTTGGGCCCGTTTTAATTTTCTCCATGAAGTGACCTTTGATATTGATTTATTCCAGTGTTGAAAGAAAAACAAAAACATTTAAGCAAAAAGCAAGCACACAGACAACAAGTGAACTCTAAGTTCGGGGACAGCTGAGCTGGCTCTTGCTGCAGGCACTGGGGCTCCTCCTGCAGTTCCATGAAGCTCGGGTATTGCAGGGGCCTCTCTTTGCTTTCCAGCTGCTGGGAATGAGAACTCGGGCCAGAGGGCTTCGTGAGTCCAGTCAGATGCATAGGAGGGCCCAACCCAATGACTGACTTTGAAGTCAAGCAATTGCATAGTATATTGGTGTGCCCTGCCCAGACCTGCCAGGACATGTCTCTAGGAAATTCATTCTCTCTCAGTCTCTGTAACTGTCTCTCTCTCTTTTAAAATTAATCGACATGGATTTTATCTTCCCTTTCATGGGATCTTTACAAACTCATATTAATTCCACTCTCTCACTTAAAAAGGTAAATCCTTTAGTGTGAGAGGCCAGAGTTTCCTAACCCTGATTTCTATATTATTTTATACTTTCTTACCTTCTCCAAGGACCAAGCCCGTATTAGGAACCAGACCTCCTTGGTCTGCTGTAGTCACTTTAGCTGGGGAAGGAACTAAGGGTTCAGAGCTGTGCACAAGTGCTAGGGGGTGAACGATGTAGGGGAAGAAGTGCTGTAGGCTCATCCTGGACCTGGGAGCCCTGGGGATCTGATCCATGCCACCCTGCCCTCCTACCTCCTAGCACCCATTCTTCCTGTCCAATCAGCTGGATAAAGGTGACCAGCCTGCACAGGTCCATGAGGGACCAAGGAGCTGGGATGTCCCCAGGCTTTCTCCAAGAAGAGAGACTGAGGTCTAACTCTCAGGACCTCAGGGTGAAACCTTATTAATATCTGGGCTGTGCTAAATGATGGTCATGGGGATGGGTCCTGGCCTGAGGCCCTGGACTCCTCCTGTGACGGAGACACTGGACAGAGCCGTGCACACAGGACGCTGCGGTGTGAGGAGGAGGCAGAGAGTGGACGGCAGGAGCTAGAAGGCCGAGGTCAATCTGGAACCAGAGCCAGAGCCAAGTCTCCCTTGGGACACTAGAAGGGACCAGCCTGCTGATGTCCTGACCCTGGGTCTCTAACCCAGAGCCACTCTGCTCTTTAATCCCCACTGTCACTCTGCCACATGCATATTTAGACACTTTGTCCCTGCAGCCCTAGGGTGGACCAGCCCCCTTGGCTCTCAGTCTGCCTCCCCTCCCCCCACTCTGCTCCTTTGCTGTGTTTCTCCTGGTTTTTATTCCACCTCTGCATCTCTACAGAATCTGTTCCCAGGGCCTTGCATACTGTTCCACCTCTGCATTTGACTCGAGGCTCCTTGTGCTTCTGTGCTTGGTTAAGACATCCCTTCCTAGGGGAGCAACTCAGGAGTACTTTCCAGGCCCCAGGTAGAGTCAACTGTCCTGTGCCACCCCTCCTGTTGAAGGGGAGGAAGAAAGAGAGAAAGGAAAGAAAGCCACAGGGGATTATGGCTCTACAAAGCAGAATAATGAATTAGAACTTTATGGTTGATGCTATAAATCCAGAGCCTAATTATCTAGGGGTCTCTTTAGTGCTTTCAATAGGCAATCCTTAACCACCACTACATCTTACTCAGCTGGTAACCAGACCAATAGCATCTGACCTGGCAAGATACACCCCTGGGTGCAACAGTGGCATGGATGTTATGGGGGTCACTGGCCACACTCTGACTGAATTTGAGGCCCATTCCACAAGAGGAAACTCCAACCTGGTCCTGCACATCTGGTCAATAACCCATGGCTAGGAGCTCACGGGCCCCAGAAATGAACCTCCTACAGGTATTTTGATAAATGGTCATAGCTTCCGGCTGCCTTCTACATCTGTATACCAGTATTATGGAGACGTTACTCAACTGAAGTTCCTGCTTATCAGAGGATGCTAGTTGTGTCAGTTTGGCATAAAAACCAGCTAGGATTGAGTCAAATCTCCTTAAGGGTGTGGTTGCTGCCAGCTTTCCCACAGTCCTGTGGACAGCCTCACCCCGTGTGAATTATGAGAAGCAGTAACTGGATTCACTGGTTTATTAGCCAAAAAAAAAAAGTGACATGAAGTTGGGAGGGGAGAAGAGGGCTCATTCTTTGGGAGACAAGGGAGGGTGAATTTGATAAAAATACATTGAATGTACAATATGTAGATTTCTAAGACTTTTATAATAGTGGCCACAACGATTCTTAATTGCACTATATTTTGCCCTGCAAGAAGCATAAACCACTTCCTGCAGAGCTGGTCATTTCCTCCCAAGGGGCTCCAGAAAATGTTTCCCCAGCAACAGCTGCAGACACGAGACCAAGAGGATTAAAGACTTGGGCTCCTACACGCTGTGACCTGGGCACTCTGTGCTTCAGTCAGGCTTGCCAGGGGCATTGGGCTCATTGGGCTGAGTGACAACTTTGAGACATGCGGGATGGCAAGGTAGAGGCTCAGAAGAACTGGAATAGGGGCACACTGTAATTCCAGCCTTGTGGGGGCTGAGGCAGAAGGGTTGCTGTAGGTTGAAGGCTAGCCTATCCTATGTGACTATGAGAGCCTGCCCAACAACAAAAAGGGCCAGCGAGCTGGCTCAGAGGGCACAGGTGTTGCCAAGCCTGATGGTCTGAGTTTGATCCTGGGACCCACATGGGGGAAGGAGAGAGGCCGACTCCTGTAGGTTGACCTCTGACCCCACATGTTCACACACATGAAATAAGTGTAATAGGATATTTTAAAGGACACTTAGCTTGACCCTCGCCGAGATCTGCTCAGGACCCTCAGCTGGGCTCTTTGACCCATCCTGGAACCTGTGTGTGGCCTTCAGCACTGCAGTTCCCCCATGCATGCTCAGTGTCCACCAGACAGGCTCGTTTACCAAACAGACCATGAATATTGAACTTTTTGCTAAGTGCAGACTTTTGACCTGAATGACACAGCCATGATTTTTGGGTCTTTATAAAGAAAATCCCTTAAAACCACCGATGGCTTGTGGTCATAACCATGAGCAGAGCCAATGTTCCAATTCCTTCCTCAGTCTTCTGTTCCCTGCTCTCTGGAGTGATTCCAACAGTGATGTGTGTGTGTGTGTGTGTGTGTGTGTGTGTGTGTGTGTGTGTGTGTTTGTATGTGCCTTTTTTTTTGTTTTATGAGACAGAGTCTCATCATGTAGTCCTGGTTGACCTCAAACTTTCAAGTTCTGTGTCAGCATCCCAGGACTTGAGATTACAAGTGTGGATCACCTGCCATGATGAACATCAACTCCTGCTGGCCAGGGAGAGTCTGACATGGAGACAGGCTCGTCACTCATGGTGATTTGTCCTGGATATAAGTCATCACTTTACATTATCAGAAAGTGGCAATTGACTAATAATGGTTATAGGTGGACAGAGTGACAGACCCCTGTAACATCAGAACTTGGGAGGACAACGCTGCAGATTCCCAAGTTCATGTCTATCCCAGGCAACATAGTGAGATCCCACATTAAAGAAATATGAACCCTTCATCCTTGATGATGGACAGATGGGGTGGGGTTGGGAGGGCAATGAAGCTGTTGTGGATGGTGCCTTGGATGATGGCCACGTGGATGTGCATCTGGGAACCCAGGGAATTGCCAGACTTGAAGGCTGAACTTCAAGCTCGCCATGGCCTGGGCAGGCAGCTCATTATAGTGTCCCAGTATGGACCAGTCACTTCTCACAGACACACCTCAGCAGTGGTGAAACTGGATGCCAGCATATTCTGGATGTTTCTCACATGCCCTTCACAGTTTAGCAACGTGTGTATTGCCATTAAATGTTTAGGTGATGATAAACCGTTTTCTTCCGTAACAGGAGAAGACCAGGAAGAAAAGAACAAGAGCCAAATGTGTTTAAAATGCCTTATGCCTCCTGGTCCACTGCCTGTTGGGAAATTTTGGGATGTCATGGAGTCCAGGAATTATAAACCCCAGAGGCAAAGGTGTGATTGCATAGTCCCGCCCTTCCTAGGAAAGAGAAACTAGCTGTGGATATAAGGTACAGTTAGCTCCAGAAGCAGTGCTGCAGTCAGCAAACACAGCTGGACAGAGAATGGTGCAGAGACTCAGCAGCACCCGGGCCTCGGGGCTGGACACATTCATACGGGACCACCTCCTTCCTAATACAGACTTTCGGACTAAGGTCAACAAAGACATCCGCACCATAAGTGATTTCCTGATGGACAACTGTTTCCAAGTGAGGGTCTCCAAAGTGGTGAAGGTGAGTTCCCTCAGCCTGAGCTGACCCAGGTGGGAGAGAGAGAACCCTCAGGAGCCAGGCTGCAGTCCTGAGTGGGGTGAGTTACCTACCTCTCTGTGTCCCAGTGTTCTCATGTGCACCCCCACTGAGGCACAGGGTAGGGAACAGAACAGAGACCCCACGTGCTGGATGACTGGACTGAGGAGCCTCATTGTCCATGTTTCCCACCTGTCAGATGGGAACTCACGACAACAGTACCTAACTCAGTCACTGTGAGGGCTGCAGAAATGAATGTTTTTAATGCCAACTAATCACTCGGGAGGGGGGGAGGGCTAGGGGTGTGTGAGGGGGCCAGTGATTGTGACCAGATTTTTATTCACGAAGGCTCTCCACAGTATCACTTGCTATTTTCTCTATAATTCTCTTTGTGAATTCAATTCTCTTAATTTTAAATTTTATTCTGAGACTTTTTAAATATTGTTGCACATTATCTTCATACAAGAAAATGGTGTACTTTCAGTGTATTCTCCTTAATATCCTGATAATATTGGAGGTGACAAGTTTCATGTCTGTGTTAATTAATTCACACACACAGTCTGCCTGTTACCATCCCCCGCCCTGTTCCCCCACCACCTCTGATTTCCTATCACATGTATGCAGGTAGATCCAGATTCCATATGAGAGGAATGTGCTCTTTTGTCTCCCCCAGTTACCCTCCCTCGCTTCTCATTTCCTTTAGACCTCTCCCTCACCTTCATAGCTGCCCTTCTATCAGACACAGACACACAGATACAGACACACACACACACACACACACACACACACACACACACTTAAATCTAGACTGCACAGATAAACCCTGCTTTCTGTCATTCTGAGTCTGGCTTATCCCTCCGACCATGAGGAAATCCAGAACCATCTATTTTCCTACATAGATTCTGACTTCACTCTCAGGGCACTGTGCATGTGCCGGCTTTCCCTACCCCTCCATCATCCTGGTGGTGGACCCCTAGGCTGTTGAGGGTCTGGACTCCTGTGCATGGTTTGGTCTGCTGATTTTTCTCTTTATTGTCTTTCAGGGCAGCTCCTCAGGTAAAGACACTAAGCTGAGGGGCAGGTCGGATGCTGAGCTTGTGGTCTTTGTGAAAAATCTCACTGCGGAGGACATTTCCACCACACCGGAGTCTGCATCACCACCCACCCGGTATGGACCGTGGCTTGGGGCGAGGTCCTAGGGGTTAAACATAGGACAAACACACGGATAGAGAGTTCGGGTCATTCGCCAAGAGCCGAATGCCAAGTTTATTCAGGTTAATTCAGGGTTAATATACTCTTTTGCCCCAGAAGAGGAAACCCCTCCCAGCCAGAGGGAATTGGGGAAGCTCTGCAAGCCGGTGGGAGTGGGCGAGGGGTGCAGGGCAGTGTCAGACAGGTTAGAGGGACCTGGCGCCTGGGCTCTCCCACCCGGGCAGGTTGAGAAATTACCATTTTAAAGTGATACAAAGCCCTACGGCTATTTTACCAGGCTAGGGCAGAATGAGCATGGAACTAGCAGGAAGCTTAAACTGGTTAGCCAAAACTGTCCTTGATTTGCACCTAGAGAGGCAGGGGAGAACCAGGAATCCCAACATCTCACCGGCTTTGAGGATCAGTTGAAACAATGGGGAGAGTTCATCAAGGAAATTAAGAAGCAGCTGCACAACTTACGACGTGAGAGACAAGTTAAACTGGAGTTTGTGATTAAGAGTGAACGATGGTCCAACTCTTTGGCTCTCAACTTCAGGCTGAGTTACCCCAAGCTCCAGCAGAAGATGGAGTTTGATGTGCTGTTCGCCTATGATGTCCTGGGTAAGCCAATCAGAGCCTTAGCTCCTTCCATGTGCCTTGATCTTGCTTTTCTGTCTGTCTGTCTCTCTCTCTTTGTGTGTGTGTGTGTGTGTTGCATGTGGGTTAGTGTGTGTGTATGGTCATAAACTGGCTAACATAACTAAGGAACCATTGATATTTTTTGAGTCCTTGTCTGGAATTCTACACTAATCTTGACTGACTAGCAGAGCCCTGGGAACCCTCTTGTCTCCAACTCCCCAGTTATGCGATTTCAATCCTGTGCCACCACTCCCAGCTTTTCCCTGAGTCCTGGTGTTCTGACACGGGTCCTCAAGCTTGTGACAGTCTCCCTGAACTGAAAGCACTTATCATTCGAGAAATTCACCCAAACAGAGAATCTCTTTAGAGCTGAACTGAGGAGGAGGGATTTAGAATTTGGGGAGTGGGAGTGAGGATCCATTAGAGAAGGACATGAAGTGGAAAACTGACTCAGTAATGGTGTGAAGACCCCTAGATGTCCCCTCGGCTTATCAGCAATATTTGTGACAGGATGTGGACTTTGTCTTCTAAACAGAAGACATCAGAGATCTCACTGAAAATTAAAATTTGAGGCATCTTTCCCAAAGAATGGGAAACTTCAGACCTGGACAGAGGCCTGAGTGTCTGTGGGAAAGTTAGTGCAGGATGCAGAACTTCTCAGAGGATCACTGTCTGCCTCAGGAAAATTGGAAACCCAGCCATAGCCACCCAAGCTCCCCACATAGCCATATGTTATACCATTAAGCTGAAAGACTCCCGTGGGCGTCTTCCCTCGAGAGAGAGACCCCGTGCCCAAAGATCAGTCGAAAACACGCAGCCGGATGCAAATTGCAAGAGGTTTATTGGATAGGATACGCAGGTACCTGGGCTACAAGTCTCTGGAAGACTTGCGCGCCTGCAGGTTGGGGATGAGGGGTTCTTATAGGAGAGCAAAAGCGCAGGTACAGAAGCAAAAAAGCTTTCATTTCATTGGTCAATTTAAATAAGGCTAAGCTGAGTGGCACATTCCTGACCTTTTACCTAAATACCAAGGAGGGGGTTGTCCAGACCCACCTGGATACCAAGGAGGGGGTTGTGCTACCTGTTTTTCTTATCTCTTCCTGCCTTCCTAGCTTGGCTGGCGACTAGATGTCTGATCGCACAGCCCCTGACTCGTGGGAGCCCCGCTTTACGTGACTCAGGCCTCGCAATCCTCTCTTTGTTTCTATGGCCAGATCATAAATCCCTGTCTTGCAGCCAGATAAGGCTGCCCTGCTCTAACTTCAAGTATCTTTGTTCAGCATTCCAGAGGTTCTGAATTAAGCCTGTTATTTGTTCAGCACTCCGGAGGTTCTAAACTCCGGAGGTCTTTAATTAAGTTATCTGCAACCCTTTGCAAAACGTTATAACTGTGGTTAAAGTTAAAACGAGTTGGGGTCCTTCAAAGCATTAATGATGCTCTGTGTTAAGATGTTACACCAGGTCTGACACTGTGCATCCCCAGAATTAAAAAACTTCCCAACTCTGCCCAAAGACAACCAGGAACACCCTTGAAAGAAAGGTTGGGGGGCGGGGTGAGGAGCCTAGAGAATAGTTGAGGCTTTATATTTGGGGGACACAGCTACCCCTGTCGGCCACTGGTGAACTGCTGCTATTAACATAGAGACAAGGTTCTTAGGAGAGCCCTGGAAACAACACCGAGCCTCAGGCAGCAGAGAATGAGAGGCCAGCCTGGGAGTAGGAGCAGGGCAGCATGCTGTGGGAAGATGCAAGGGGAGGGGTCCCAGAGGGGTGACTCAGAAAAGAGCTGGAAGTGCGGCTCCCCCAGAAACTTACCCTGGTCATGGACTTCCCCAGTCTCAGGCAGCTCTCCAGTGGGGAAGTGGAGCCGCCACAGACAGACTGCCTTGGAAATGGCAGTGTGGAGGACATCCCAAGAGAGGACCCTGCCACAGCCCTACCTAAGATGAGTTAATTGATGAGCCCCACTATGTGCTAGGTCCTGAAATTGTAAATAAGCACATGATGGACAGAACCTCCTGTGTCACTGAGTGTGGGGTGTGTCCCCAAGCCCATCACCAGGCAATTTTGTCCTGAGCCAGCATTAAAGCCTGATGCTATGGCCTGCTGCCATGACCATATACCTGCACACATGTAAGACACAGATGCGCTCATGAACCCACACACAGTCACACACCCACAGCTATACCATAGCCGCCTATACCATAGCCTGCTGCCCATCTATTCCAGAAGTTTAGAACACACACACACCTTGCCTCTCTCAGGACCGGGACAGACAAGCAATATGGTGCTAAGTTAGGCACTACAGAGAGTCATGCATGGAAACACAGTGTGGGGAGACAGCTCAGGGATAAGGGCAATTACTGCACAAGCATGAGGACCTGAGTTCAAATCCCCAACATCCACCTAACTTAGGAAGCTCCATTCATGGACCAGTAACCCAGGCACTATGAGGGCAAAGACAGGAGATTCTCTGTGGCCTGAGGGATGCCAGCCAAGCTCCTTATTCACAAAGAGACCCTGCCTCAAAGGGATAAAGAGACAAACTACAAAGGAAGAAACCCAATGTCGTACTCTGATCTCACAAACTCATGCACAATACACATGGCAGAGACTCTGTCTGCTCTACAGTATTTTGACACAAGCAGGAGTGTACAGACATGACAAACACCATGAAGAAAATACTAGACCTCCAAAATGTGGTTGACCACTATTAGATGACTTGCAGCCCCCTTGTGTGTGACCTCAGTGTGCTGTTTCCTCCCACCACTGTCTCCAGGCCTGTGAGGAAGGTTCCACACTGGTATGAGTTGGTAACAGGAATGTTCCAGGGCCACATGGTGTATGCAGTCATGAATGTATGGAAAAAGATGCTTGCTATGCTAAAACTCTGCTCAACTCACTGAACCCCATAATCAGTAATCTTGTCACCCCACAAATAGACTCAGGAATGCCAGAGAAGGGCTGGAGAGTTAACTGAGTAAAGCCTCCTTTACAGGTGATGTCAGCACTAACGGGAAACCTGGCCCCCAAATCTACAAAAGCCTCATTGAGAAGTGCACCTCCCTGGGGCTGGAGGGTGAGTTCTCCACCTGCTTTGCCGAGCTCCAGAGAAACTTCTTGAAGGATCGTCCACTCAAGCTGAAGAATCTCATCCGCCTGGTCAAACACTGGTACCAACTGGTATGGCATCTGGCCCAGCCACTGTGGTCCCCGTCTGTACAGGGAACAGGTGCAGGACAGGAAAAAGATGGGGTGGTCTAGTTTGCTTTCTGTGGACATGATATCTTTATCATATGACCAAAAGTCTCTTAGGAAGGAAAGATCTTATTAGGTTGCACATCCCAGTCAATACCCTTTACTGAGGAAGTTAGGGCAGTAACTGAAGCAGAGACCATGGGGGAATTCTGCTCACTGCCTTGCTCTCCATGCATTGCATTTATACACAACCCAGGGTCACCTGTCCATGCATGGCACCAGCTACACCAGTCACTAGTCATGAACATGTCCCACAGACTACCCTAAGCCAGTCTGATGAAGGCATTGCCGTTACTAAGGTTCCCTCCTACTAGATGACGCTATCTGATGTCTAACTGACAAAACTAACCTTCACAAATGACACACTTTCAAGTTGGTACTCAAACACACCACTATTAAACCATAGCCTTTCATTCTTACTCATCTCTGAGATCTCATGTCAATATCACATCATAAAATATGATATAGTTTTAAATTTTCAAGGTTTTTTGTAATTCCAACCATTAGAAAGATTAGTCTCTCTGCTATCAACTCACATAAATTTAAAAATGTAAGTTAAATATTTTCTTATTCCAAGAGGAAAGAATCAGGGCACAGTCACAATCAGATCGAACAACAACAAAGGCCAACAGTACAAAAGCACAGTGTCTGAATCTGGGACTCAGCATTTTCTGAGCTTCAGAGGGCTCGGACAGCTGTTCTTCTCAGACTCTGCAAACACCGTAGACAGCTGCTCTCACAGGCTCTGGCCAGCTCTGTTTCACACATTCTGCTCTCCTTGGCAGTGGTTTCATGCTCAGGGGATCTTCAGTGTCTTGTGGTCTCCGCTGCAATTGAGGCTGCACTTTTTCTAGTGGCCTCTCTCAGTGCCAGGCCTCAGCTGCTCTCCATGACCCCTTCACTCCTGCAGCCTTGATGGGACTAAAATGCTACCACCTGGGAGACCTCTCACATGACCAGGTCTGGCTGCCACCTGGAGATGCAGTCTTGGGCCCCTGGACCACAGCTTCTGTGTGTGACCCTGAGGAAACTCTTTCCAGAAGACTTGGCCTCCATGGTGCAGGTCTCTTACTCAGAGCTGACTTCCAGCCCCAGCTGAGGAGAAACCACTGACTCTTAATTCTAAGATCTCACACAAACAGCCAGATAGAGTCTTTGCTTCCCTCTGAAACGTCACACACCAGCCTCTGTCATCTGCCTCTCTACATTTGTATCTTCCAGGTTCCCACTAACAGCACATTAGACTCTAAGCCCTCAACAGCTTTTCCGGCCGCAAGTTCCGAAATCCTTCCACTCTTCTCCCGCCAAGCAACATGGCGGCTGTGCCACAGCAGTGATCCGCTCTCTAGGGCCAATGTCCGTCCTCCTTTGCTTCTGTTGCTTTGGTAAAGACGATGGCAGAAAGCAGTTTGGAGAGGAAAGAGACTATCTGCTTACACTCTCACATCATACTCCAGCTCTGAGGGAAGTCAAGGCAGGAACTAGAGGCAGGAAGTAAATCAGAGGTCATGAAGAAACATTGTTTGCTGCCTGATACCCTGGGCTGCTCAGCCTGCTTTTTATTTTTCATATGACCCGTGAGCCTCTGCTCATGGGTGACATCATCCACAGTGGGTTGGGCCCTCCCACTTCAGTCATTCATCAAGAAAATGCCCCATAGGCATTTTCCACAGTCCTGTTGGATGGAGGCATTTGATCATTTGTGGGTTCACTTTCTCAAGATGACTCCATCTTATGTCAGACTCACAAAAAAATGGCATAGGAGGTGAGAAAAATAGAAAACAGAAAAGGAAAACAAAGGAAAGGGAAGCAGAGGGGAAGGGATGAGAGAGCAGAGAGGGGTGAGGGGAGACAGCAAGGGAAGGTGATGCTGTAGGAGGAAGAGGGAGGAGAGGGAGGGGACCTGAGAGGAAGGAGGAGTCTCCATGCTTGTTCTATTGACTTCTTCCTGTCCACTGTCCAGTCAGCTAACTCTCCTTCCACCCAGGTCTAATCCACTGTTCCCTGGCTACTCTTCATGTGTCTGTGGATTTTTCTTCCTTCTTAGACAGAGCTTCCTGTCACTTTCTCTGGTTTCTGGTTTCCTGCCATTCAAGTTATTGGCTCTTTTTTCCCCCTTGGTTTTTCAAGACAGCTTTCTCTGTGTAGTTTTGGAGCCTGTTCTGAAACTTGCTCTGCAGATCAGGCTGGCCTTGAACTCACAGAGATACACCTGCCTCTGCCTCCTGAGTGCTGGGATTAAAAGCATGCACCACTATAAACAGGTGATTTCTCATTATTTCCTGGGCCTTTTTAAGTGTGTATGCTGTTTGTGCACATATACCTGTTCTAGGATGTGCGTGTGCTTGTGTTTATATATGTGGTTTGCTTCTGTATGTATACTTGTTCTGGGGAGCACGTGTGTATGTGTTTATATGCACGCATACATTTGTAGAGGCCAGAGAATGATGTCAGGTCCTCATCACCTTGCACCCTGTATATCCAGACAGTGTCTCACACTTGAACCCACAGTGTGCTGAATCAGCTGGTGTGGACAACAACGTATCCTGGGGAGCCCCCATCTCCACATCTGAAGCTGGGATTGTGAGTGGGTTTCCTCTCCAGCCTGACATTCATGTGCATGTTGAATCTGAGCTCCAGTTCTCATGCATACAGGACAGACACTTTCCCCACTGGGGCGTCTCTCTAGCCCCTCCGCAGTTATTTCAGAGCCTGTGATAGAGCCATCAATAGTGAGCATCATTACTATCCCACCCCCACCCCCACTCCCTGGCTGTCACTCACTATGTCATGATTCCTCCTATGCCTGCTAGTAAATGCTCAGTCTTTGTGGACCACACAGTATCTGTCTCAACCACTCAGCCCTTGGCTATGTGAGCGTCCATAGACTGAATCTACATGAATGCGTAAGCCTGTAATGACAACATCAGGTTGCAGCTGAATTGAGTCAATGAGAAGTGGTCCCCACACAACAGCTGAATACAACTTGTTCTTGTTCCTTTCTCTTCTCAGTGTAAGGAGAAGCTGAGGAAGCTGCTGCCCCCACAGTATGCCCTGGAGTTGCTCACAGTCTATGCCTGGGAAAGTGGGAGTGGAGACACTGAGTTCATCACAGCCCAGGGCTTCCGGACAGTCTTGGAACTGGTCACCCAGTACAGGCAGCTTCAAATCTACTGGACAACGTATTATGACTTTCAAGATCAAGACATCTCCAAATACCTGCACAGCCAGCTCCGAAGAGCCAGGTAGACTGTTCCCTCAGGACTCAGCTCCTCAGCATGGAAATCCTGACTACAGCAGTGGAAATGGGGAGGTGGGAGCTCCTGTCCTGTCACTGTGCAAGGCTGTCTCCTTATTGACATGAGGACAACTGTCACTTGGAGGCAGGGGTGGGCTCTCCTGCCTGCCGATGCAGAGAACAAGGCTTTGACCTTGTCCAGACTCAAACAGCAGAGGAAGGGGAGTACATGGAGCGGGAACTGAGATGTTCTAGCTGTATTAGAAGTCATCAGGGTTGTGGGACTCAGAAGACCAGTGCTGGACTAATGAACTGTAAACAATACAATAGACTTGTCATATGTCTTGATCCTGTGTTGTGTTCGGCCCTCACACCTCATCCTTTGAGACAGACTGGTTGAACTCTGTCCATCTTACAGATAGAGAGGCTGAGGAACCTGTCCCAGAACACAGTTACTAAACGGTAGAGGATTAGAACCCAGGCCTTCCAGGTCATGGGCAAGGAGCCCTCCAGGCTTGCTCTGTGTTGTCGGGAAGGAACTCAGGACAAACTGAATAGGGGTATTCTGCTGGGCTCCTCCCCTGTCCCTGTGCAGTGGTACCTGTGGTACCAGACAGCTCGTCAGTTCCTTCTCTGAATGCTGTTCTGCAGGCCTGTGATCCTGGACCCGGCTGACCCAACAAGGAATGTGGCTGGTTCCAACTCAGCGGGATGGTGGCTGCTGGCAGAAGAAGCTGTGGCCTGGCTGGATTACTCATGTGTTAAGGATTGTGATATGTCCCTAGTGCGCTCCTGGGCTGTATCGGTGAGACCTCACCATTACCCTGTCCCCTTTGAACACTTCATCTGTCTGGAGAATATTCTCAAACAATGTGGTATTTGACTGAAATTCTCCACACTTCTATGGTGGCTCCTTTTACAGACATTTTAGCAACATTTCAGAGATGTCACAGGTTGGCAAGATGACATAGTGGGTAAACCACATGCTGCCCACACTGATGTCCTGGGTTTGATCCCTAGAACCCTTTGGTAGGAGAGAACAACTCCAAGTTTCTTCTGACCTTAACCTCTGTCTGTTACACAAGTGAGCACACACAAACACACACTCACATACATACTTACACATTCTGGCAACCTCATAAGTTCACATATATAAAAACACTAACACACATACTTTCACACACACATAAACACATGCACAAACTCTCACACACTCACATAAGCACAGACACACTCAAACACATAGGTACATCCACACACTGACACACATAGAGAATGTGCAAAGGAGACTCAGAGCTGAAGCCACTGGCTCAGGGGTACTCAGCTGAGGAGAAGTGGGCCAGGGAATCCTGTGGACTCTGAAGCCAGTGCTCAGGTCCATAAGGCAGCCCATCTTTCCCATCTCGTTGTCATGTGGTCAATGGGACTCAGGGGAACTGTGTCACAGGTAAAAAGAAACAGAGGGACCTGCACTTGTACCTTTTCTCTTGTGAGGCAGGGGACTTTCTGATGCTAGGGGACTGATGAGGTCATGCATGCCATCAAGATGGAGCTTAGCATGGGTGCAGTGACTTGGAAGCAAACCTCAGAAGGTCAGGAAGGGAGAGGGAAATGTGAGAGGTTAGCTGGGACATGTGATGGAGGCAGCTGTGACTGTGACCTTTAATGCTGTCCCGCAGCAGAAAGATGGCTAGTCCCTCTCTTCCAACTGACAGATGCGTCACTAAATGAGGGGACCTCAAGTCGGGCTATATGGACCACAATGGGCTGAGCCATAAAGATGTCCCGATGGCCATCTTGCCAACATGGAATGTGCAGTCCCTTCTTCTGAGGGGTTCCAGGTGGTCAGTCATGGTGCCCACCCTCAGAGCTCATTTGCATACCCAGTAGGAATGCTGGCTCCTGACATGATTGTGTTTTCTATTGCAGCCTCAAGTTCCTGTGCCAGAACAACAGGTTAGTTATTTTTCTTTGTTTGTTTTGTTGTGGACTTCTGCTGCATTCACCATCCTCCTGCCTCAGTGCTTGGATGACTGCAGCATAGGCCTGATGTGCCCTCCCTTCCCTCCATCTTCAGGATGTGAGCACAGCAGCACCTGCCCAGAAGGCTCCGGAGTCAGGCGATGTGCTCCTCTACTGCAGGCCTTGACAAGAAAGGGCAGGATGCTGCCCAAGGTCCCAGAGGAGGAGTGTCCACTCTAGGGTCAGATTCCAGGCTTCTGACCCCTGCTTGCCCACCCTTCCATCCTGGCCCATCACAGACAACCTTCCTCACAGCATGCTTCATCTTCCTTATCCTCTGACAGTGTTCTCTGGGGGACTAGAAATTCAGAAGGGAAGGGAGAACTCAAGCTTGATTCTGTCTGTGCACCTGTTAGGAGGTTCTGTCCAAAGTCTAATCAACAACAATAAACCGCAGTAGATGCCATGAGGGTGTGTGAGATGAGCCAGAGAAGTATAGGTGTGTGTGTGTGTGTGTGTGTGTGTGTTTTCATGGTTCAACTAGATGCATTTATTGTGCACATGCTACATGCTACCCATAGGTCCAGGCACTGGTTGCTCAGCTGTGGACGGAGCAGAACCAACCCACTATAGCTATGATGTCACATGGCTTGGGATCCCCCAGGTCACTTGTACATCAACCTGAGTCAGGAATCCCTGGTTCCTTCTGTCCTTGTCCCCAAGACAAAACTCCAAGACCTGTTCCATCTGACTCAGAAGTTGTTCTGCAGCTGCGCATGGCTACAGGGACCTGGGAGTGTGAGCAGTGCACATGAAGATGCATGGTGGCTGCAGCATGCAGGCTGGGGTTCAAGGAAATGTGTGACAAAAATGCATTGAATTTGTGACATTGGTGTTCACAAAAACAGAAACATGGTTTTCTGTGATGATGATGAACTTTTGATGCACTGAGTTAAATCACAAGGAGTCTCAGCTTTGCCCCTCTCTGTCTCTCCCTTCTTTCCCCTGCCCCTCTTTCTTTCGGAGAGAGGATCTCATTATGTGTCCCAGGCTGCCTTAGTCTTCCAGCTCTGAAATTACACACACACACACACACACACACACACACACACACACACACACACATTCTACCACCCTCCACACAGAGAACTAAATGATTTCATGGTAGTGTTGTGAACCAGCAGCTCATTCATTAACACAAAAGACCCATATGTTTACTCACCTCTTGGGCCCTGCTCATCAAGAGTTCAGAGCATTGCACAGGGCTAACCATTCCCAAAAGCCTGCTCCTGTCCCTAGTACCCACTCTCTTAATAACTGGGGGTAGGGCATATCCTATCGGTGCTCTCTCATTCAGTTCTCACTCTAGTGGCCCTGAAAACCAGAAGCCCCAGTGTCCCGGGGTGTGAGAAGACCCAGAAGTCCCCTAGAACTCAGAATACATCACACTCTGCCTTGTGAACCTGGTGATGCTCATTTATAATTCCCGTCTTGCCTTTTCTGAAACACCCCTAGTTACTGCTGGTAGCCTTTTGAAGAGCCTGCTTCAAGGCTGCCTCCAGGGTATGTAAAAAAAATCCACAAATGCAGTGTGACCTAGACGTTTCTATCTGAGGGGTAAATAAGGAAGCACTTTCTAATGGTAACTTTCTCTGTTACTTCATCTTGAAAAATCCCTTTCTGAAAATTTCTGTCTCCACACAGCTACATCTCTTTGCCTACATCTACATAACACTTCTCTCTCCATCTCTCATCCCCTCTTCCACATCTCTCCAGCTTCCTATCATAGCCAAAACCATTGGACAAATATGAATCAAATCTTCAGGGTCACAACACTGCTTGAGTAAACAATAAGAAACGGCGCTGTACTGATCACACAGTTTCTCTCGGGCTAGGGATGTCACACTGACTTTCTAATGAGTAACACTTGGCTGTGCACGTAGCTCTGAGTGGTCAGAGTTCCCAGACAGAAAAGTAACATTGCAATTCAGGACTTAAACAATAAACAGTTAGCTGACTGAAGCTTGAGGTTGGAGAGTATGTACTGAACTCCCTAGAGCTGAGAAAGTTAAGTTGACTAAAGTTGCTTCATGATCTGACTTTGAGTCAGCAAAACAGAAATTGTCCTCTTGTATTTGTCTCTAGGGCCAACCAGATATTCATCTCCAGGGGCAACCAGTTTGCTTTGAATTTGTTCTGAAGTCTAAAATCAGCTGTCTTTGTGACTAAGAACACTATTGCTTTCTTATGTCAATCTGAGTAATAAAAAAGATCCTAGTATTTCTATTCATCAGAATTGCAAATTTAAGCAGAAATCATCTTCCTGACCATCCACAGATATATGTGCCCAGTAGATAAAATATTTTCATGAGATAAACACACACAAGCAGTGATAAAATACCTACAGCTGTTATTAGTGGCTCATGAGAAAAATTACAGAGACAAATTGTTTTCTGCAGCCAGTGACCCACAACTTTGCCAAGTGAGGCTCCCCTTCAGAGTCACTCATCTGGTAGGCCAGCCTATTGAATACTAGTTGTCACCTACTGTATACTCCCATGGCCTCTGGCAAGATAAACAGAGAAGCTTTGAATAAACAATGCCCAAAGGTCCCGCATGTCTGCCGCCAAGCTGACAGGACCCATCACATGAGCCATCATGTACCACACACTAAAGCAAGTCTACATGTAGCATATAAAGGCCACATCCCGTGTCTCCATGATGAAATGACCCCTTGTGTGGACCATTGAAAGCCTTCCCAATGATAAAGACTATGGAGGCTAACAGCAGGCTACAGCAGCCTAAGGGAGGAGCAACAAGGTGGCAGGATCAGGTTTCCATGACAACAGTGAGGCAGGATCATTTCTCAGGTGGAGTAGGATTCCACAACTGACACTTTCATAGCACTGTGTCTGATCACCATGTTGTGCAGTGTCATGTTTGCTCCAGACCAGAACTGCCCAAGATCCCTTTAGCCCTAAGCACCGTTCTCATCCCCACACTTCCTGTGGATGCCATGTTGGTTCTGACTTACCATCCATGCTGGCTAGGGGAGTAGCAGGGCTTGATGGTGACCCTTTGAGTTTCCCAGCCCAGTTTTCAACTTTGACCTCTGCATAAGGTTGGGAGCAGCCGGTTCTGCAGTGCCCATCCACTGAGTAAAGAGTATTCCATTGAGGGGAGGCATTGCTCTGTCCATCATGATACTGCAAGGATTCAATTCTCAGACAATGGGGAAGCTCAACCAATCACGTCTGGTTAGGGTATGGCCGCCTGGAGCCCAGGTAGAAAAAACGGGAGGACAACCTTTCAGACCGGTGAGTGGGTGCCATCCTGGGACGGGGTGGAACATCCGGGAAAGGAATATTGGGCCCCTTTATCTTCTGTTGCAGGGGCTTCTCTGTTCCACACTTCCCTGCCCACCCCTCACCCCACCACACCTGCCCTATTGTCTGGGAGGTCCTTGGCCCAGGAACAGGTCCTGTTCCTTCACTGAGGCTACCCACCCAGAGGGATGAGTGCACACCCACCCGGCCGGAGGGGAGTGCACGGCACCTCCAACTCCTGCTGCAGGGGCTTCTTGGCTCCACACAACTCTCCCCTCCCCCTCGAGTTCGCCCTTTTGTCTGCGAGGTCCTTAGACCTCCAAGAGTCCTGTCCCTGTGCTGAGGACAAGCTTTCAGACTGGCCAACCGAGGAACAGTTCCTGTGCCTGCACTGAGGAGATCCACCCAGAGTCAGTCACAGCAAAGGTTGGACCAAGACACCAAGACTCTCCTGGCTGCATTTGAAGGAAGAGATGGGCAGGCGCCAGTGCAAGAATTCCTCCAACAACCTGAAAGGCAACATGACATCACCTGAATCCAGGGATCATGAAACAAGAAGAATTGAACACCCTACTCCAGAAGAAATAGAAGAAATCGACTTTAAACGGAACTACATGGAATTGATAGAGGAACTTAAACAGGA